GGGGGTGGTGTGAGTGGCTGTGGCTGTCATCTTAGGTAAGAGGGGATGACCTGGACCAAGATCACTGTGGTGGGGAGGATTTGCAGACTCTTTGAAAAATGAAATCCACAGAACTTGGAAACAGATAAGATGTGGGAAATTAAGAGAGGAGTAGTCTGGCGGTTTCCTGGTTTTTGGCTGGGGGATGGGCAGAACGTAGCAGTGATCGTTGGGATGAGGAACATTGAGAGAATCTGGGGGATGAGTGAGCAGAGTGGAAGATGCCTACAGGACAGCCAGGAGGCAGCTGAGGGTCCAGTTCTGGAGAGACCTCGGTGTGTGCACACACATAGTTGGGGTATATGAGGCTGCCCAGAAAGCATGTGACTTGTGTAGATAGAGGTGCTGAAATTCTCTGGAAGCACCAATTAGGGGAATTTTAGGAAAGGAAAGGAGGAAAACAAGGAGAATGTATATTACAGAGGCAGGAAAAGAGGTTTCTTTTTGTTTCTGCTGTGTGTCAGACCTTGTCTAGGCTCTCAATGACTGTATCTCATTTATTCCTTCTGAAGCTCTTTGTGTTGCTGCTATGCTGGGGCTTCATACACAGAATAGGGCTCACATAGCTGACCAGTGGCAGGGCCAGGATCCAAGCTCAACCTTTTCCGCCGAAGTAGGGGCTGCTTCTCCAGGTTCTCATCAATACCGAATATGCTCACATCTCCTTAGATAGAAGAAGCTCTTGGAAATCAGGAGGGGGCTGCAGTGGCTCCAAGGGCGAAAAGGTTGCTTTAGCAGGGACAGCCTCTGCCCTGGGATATGGGGATCAGGAAGGATGCATGTAGAGGTATCTGAGGCTAAGAATTTGGGGATTAACCTGACTCAAGAATGAGGTGGAGTGAGGAGAAGGATGTGAGTTTGAGAAATTTGTGGTTGAACTGAACGTCAAGAGTGACTGCTGGGAGCAGAAAGTCAGTACTGAAAGTCCAGCTGCAACTGAGACCAAGGATTTTCCAAGGTTCAAGCTGCAGGATTGTGTGTCCTTATGCATCTATATGCTACATGCTTCCTTCCCCCCATCTCTTCCCCGTGGGTCATCTGAGTTAGGTGCATGGTTCTGACGTGACTCTTTGCTTCTGCCTAGGTGAGGGGCCCGATGTCCTGGTATACAGCTTGGACTTTGGTGGACATCTGCGGATGATGAAGCGAGTACAGAACCTGCTTGGCCACTATCTTATCCATGGGTTCCGGGTGCGGCCAGAGCCTAATGGAGACCTTGACACAGAGGCCATGGTGGCTGTATTTGGGAGCAAAGGACTCCGAATTGTGAAAGTTAGTTGGGGACAGGGCCACTTCCGGGAGCTTTGGCGCTCTGGCCTGTGGAACATGTCTGACTGGATCTGGGATGCATGCTGGCTCGAAGGGAATGTGGCCTTGGCCCTGGGCCATAACTCAGTGGTGTTATATGACCCAGTGGTAGGGTGCCTCCTGCAGGATGTGCCCTGCACGGACAGGTGCACCCTCTCCTCAGCCTGTCTGATTGGAGACACTTGGAAGGAGCTTACTGTAGTGGCAGGTGCTGTTTCCAACCAGCTCTTGGTCTGGTACCCAGCAGCTGCCTTAGCAGACAACAAACCCGTGGCACCTGACCGGCAGGTCAGTGGGCATGTGGGTGTCATCTTCAGCATGTCCTACCTGGAAAGCAAGGGCTTGCTGGCTACAGCTTCAGAAGACCGAAGTGTCCGTATCTGGAAGGTGGGCGATCTGCGGGTTCCTGGGGGTCGGGTGCAGAATATTGGGCACTGCTTTGGGCACAGTTCCCGTGTGTGGCAGGTCAAGCTCCTAGAGAATTACCTTATCAGTGCAGGAGAGGACTGTGTCTGCTTGGTGTGGAGCCATGAGGGTGAAATCCTCCAGGCCTTTCGGGGCCATCAGGGCCGTGGGATCCGGGCTATTGCTGCCCATGAGAGGCAGGCCTGGGTGGTCACTGGGGGTGATGACTCAGGCATTCGGCTGTGGCACCTGGTGGGACGTGGCTACCCAGGCTCGGGGGTCTCAGCTCTCTGCTTCAAGTCCCGTAGTAGGCCAGGTACCCTCAAGGCCGTGACACTGGCTGGCTCTTGGCGACTGTTGGCAGTGACTGACACAGGGGCTTTGTACCTCTATGACCTCGAGGTCAAGTGCTGGGAGCAGCTACTAGAGGATAAGCACTTCCAGTCCTACTGCCTGCTGGAGGCAGCTCCTGGTCCTGAGGGCTTCGGGCTATGTGCCATGGCCAATGGGGAGGGTTGTGTCAAGGTTGTCCCCATCAATACTCCAACTGCTGCTGTAGATCAGACCCTGTTCCCTGGGAAAGTGCATAGTCTGAGCTGGGCCCTGCGTGGCTACGAGGAGCTCCTGTTGCTGGCATCAGGCCCTGGTGGGGTAGTGGCTTGCCTAGAGATCTCAGCCGCGCCTTCTGGCAAAGCTATCTTTGTCAAGGAACGTTGCCGGTACCTGCTGCCCCCAAGTAAGCAGAGATGGCACACATGCAGCGCCTTCCTGCCCCCGGGTGACTTCCTGGTGTGTGGGGACCGCCGGGGCTCTGTGATGCTGTTCCCCTCCAGACCAGGTCTGCTCAAGGACCCTGGAGTGGAAGGCAAGGCTGGGGCTGGTACTGGGGCACCTGGAGCAGGTAGTGACAGTGGTGGGAATGCTTTGGCAGAGTGGGGCCCTGTGTCTACCCTTCCTTCTCTGCATGGGAAACAGGGTGTGACCTCAGTCACATGTCATGGTGGCTACGTGTATACCACCGGGCGTGATGGCACCTACTACCAGCTCTTTGTGCGAGGTGGCCAGCTCCAGCCAGTCTTAAGGCAGAAGTCCTGTCGAGGCATGAACTGGGTGGCTGGGCTCCGTATGGTGCCCGATGGGGGCATGGTCATCCTGGGTTTCCACGCCAATGAGTTTGTGGTGTGGAGCCCCCGGTCACATGAGAAGCTGCACATCATCAACTGTGGTGGCGGGCACCGCTCCTGGGCCTTCTCAGATACTGAGGCGGCTATGGCCTTCGCATACCTCAAAGATGGGGATGTCATGCTGTACCGGGCTCTAGGTGGCTGCACCCGGCCACATGTGATTCTCCGGGAGGGTCTGCATGGCCGTGAGATCACTTGTGTAAAGCGTGTGGGTACCATCACTCTGGGGCCTGAATTTGGGGTACCTAGCTTCATGGAGCCTGACTACCTGGAGCCTGGCAGTGAGGGGCCCGGCCTGATTGACATTGTGATCACCTGCAGCGAGGACACTACTGTCTGTGTCCTGGCACTCCCCACAACTACAGGCTCAGCCCATGCACTCACAGCTGTTTGTAACCATATATCCTCGGTGCGTGCTGTGGCTGTGTGGGGCATCGGCAGCCCAGGTGGCCCTCAGGATCCTCGGCCAGGCCTGACTGCCCGTGTAGTGTCCGCTGGGGGGCGGGCTGAGATGCACTGCTTCAGCATCATGGTCACTCCGGATCCCAGCACTCCAAGCCGCCTTGCCTGCCACGTCATGCACCTTTCGTCCCACCGGCTAGATGAATACTGGCACCGGCAGCGCAATCAGCATCGGATGATCAAGGTGGACCCAGAAACCAGGTAATGTACACTGCCAGGCAGGGCATGGGGTGGGATTACACAGGCCAAGCTTGCAGGCTTCTCCTGACAGCTGTGCATTGTCTTTGCAGATACATGTCCCTTGCGGTATGTGAATTTGACCGGCCTGGCCTTGGCCCTCTTGTGGCTGCAGCTTGTAGTGATGGGGCGGTGAGGTGAGAGCAAAGGGCCCACGGGATGGGGAGACAAAGGATATGAAGTTGTCCAGGATGGGTTCTAAGCTAGGTCCCTCCTCCGTCCCCCCCCCCCCAGGCTCTTTCTCTTGCAGGACTCTGGGCAGCTTCTGCAGCTCTTCGCTGAAACCTTCCACCATAAGCGGTGTGTCCTCAAGGTCCACTCCTTTACACATGAGGCACCCAACCAGCGGCGGTGAGAGGGGCTGGACAATGATCTTTCATGGGTTGGGTTACTGTTGCTCTCCACCCCTCTCACTGACCTGGCTGTCCTTTCCTGGCTCCCAGGAGGCTGCTCCTGTGCAGTGCAGCTACTGACGGCAACCTGGCCTTCTGGGATCTCACCACTGTGCTAGACCGTGGCTCCACTGCACTCAATCCTCCAATAGACCCTGGGCTTCCCTATAGTGAGTAGCTAGAGTGCAACCTGGCTGCCTCACCCCACCTCTCCCTTTGCCTTCTCACGTGTGGCAAGCAGGGACCTGACAACCATCCTCTTCTTCCAGGGCTGGGCACCCCCTCCCTGACTCTCCAGGCCCACAGCTGTGGTGTCAACAGCCTGCACACCTTGCCCACACGTGAGGGCCACCATCTTGTGGCCAGCGGCAGTGAAGATGGCTCCCTCCATGTCTTCGTGCTTGCAGTGGAGATGCCAGAGCTGGAAGAGGCTGTAGGGGAGGCTGAGTTGGTTCCCCAGTTGCGTGTGCTAGAGGAATACTCTGTCCCCTGTGCACATGCTGCCCATGTGACAGGCCTCAGGATCCTAAGCCCAAGCCTCATGGTCTCAGCCTCCATTGACCAACGGCTGACCTTTTGGCGTCTAGGGCATGGTGAGCCCACCTTCATGAACAGCACTGTATATCATGTGCCAGATGTGGCAGACATGGACTGCTGGCCTGTGAGTCCCGAGTTTGGCCACCGCTGTGCTCTTGGGGGTCAGGGGCTTGAGGTTTACAACTGGTATGACTGAGGTATCCCGTGGTGGCCAGCATGCTGGGTATGGGGTCTGTTCACAGACAGTGCAGCAGGGGTTGACTGTCTGTGCCCATGCCTAGCATGCCCTGAGGGGAGGTGGGCAGCCGCGTGTTCCCAACTTCAGAGCAGGAGCTGGAGGTGAGTAGAACGTTGCTGAGACTATGCCCCACTCCACACAACAGGACAAAACTTTGTACAACAAAACAATTTATTTTGGCTCCAGGCTCCTAAGAACTTGTGTGGGGTTTTGAGTTTTTTTCCAGTTGATGACTTTGTGAACATTCCCATATATCCAGGCCTCGTGGCCTTAGATATGGCTCAGTGGAGGGAGACCCAGCATAGCCAAGCCAGTGTGGAGCACCTCACGCACGGCCCTCAGAAGCTGCAGGCGGGCGAACATCTGACCAAAGAGGTGTGGTCGAGGTTCCTGAAGGAGAAGGGGCCTGCTGGTCTCATCCTCTGCTTTCTTGCCTTTACCCTGCACCCTTTTGCACCTCCCACCCCCTGTGCTGTGTGCTTACCCCTAGGACGTGTACCCGGTTATAGTATGAGCTGAAATCCATGCTGAGCTGTACCAGGAACTTGCACATCTAGAGACAGAGACTGAGTCACTGGTCTGTCTCTTTGCTATTATGCCCCAGCCCAGAATTCTTTTTTTTTTTTTTTAATGTATCTGGGGCCATGCTAATCTTCTCTGTATTGTTCCAGTGTTAGTGTGTGTGCTGCTGAGGCGAGCACCCTAGCCCAGAATAAAGAGTAGAGTGTGCAATGCCTAGCCTTGTTTTCTGTGCCTCACCATCTCTGTGCGTGCAGCAATGTGCAGCCCTGGAGCTGTGCAGTCCAGGACTGCTGTCTGGCTCAGCAGGTCCGAGAAGGGGAGGACACTGTTGAAGAGCAGCAGCCACTCACCCTGTGGGGGAGAAGGGTGCTGCAAGGAAAGTCCAAGCCTCCCGCTTGTGCTACCTACTGGAGGGGACACTTACCTCATCATGTAGCAGTGAGAAGTCCAGACTGCTCACAGGTGGAAAAGTGGGGTACAGACCTTGTTCCATACTGCACTTGTAACTCTCAAAGAGTGTGGCAAGACGGGCACAATTATACATGACAAAGGTGCCACTCTTTGTACCCTTTGTGGAGATGCCGCTGTCAGATAGGGCCAGGAGGAGCTGGGAAATGGGAGCACAGCTGCAGAGAAGAGGGGCAGCCACCACACCCTGTCCCCCCAGCCCTGGCCCTGTGAGACTGACTCCCAGGCTCACCTGACTCTGTGGGGTTGTGCTTAGCATCTCAAACTTGATGGTGGCCACAGAGAGAATTCCAAAGATCTCTATCCAGGCTGGGTCTGAGGGAGTACAGGTTGGTCAGTCAGTCTCTGCAGGGAAGGAACTAGGGGCAGGGGCGCAAACCACCTGCCCCTACTGCAGAGCACAGCCAGGGCCTTCCAGGCGCACCTTGTGCCAGATCTTCACTGTGTTTGAGAGCTGAGGCCTTGCACACCTGGGCATGCCGGAATCTGTTTTGAAGAGTGAGAAGAGGGCCAGTGGGCAGGGTCCCAGCAAAGACTTCCCCCACTCGACTACCCTGGCTCAGGTTGGTCTTCCTTCCAGCCTCAACTCACTTGTAGTACTCAGGGGCAGTCATCAGAGTGCCAGGTGCACCAGCTACTTTCACTGGGCCACAGACCAGGTGCTTCTGTCGGGAAGATGGCAGAGGTTCAGCCCAGCTGGCACTACTCTCCAGCAATAAGTCCTTCAAAGGAACCCAAATCTACTCCACCCAGTCCACCCAGACTCCCTCAACCTGTAACCACCAGGCTTGGTGCCTCCCTCTCAAGCCCAGCCCGTTAGGACACAGTCCAGCCTCAACCTATTCGATGTTCTTGGGATGTTTTCGGACTCCACCTTCTCCAGCGCCTTGCACCGGCTGCACATGCCCTCTCTCTCAACAAGTTCACCATCTTCCCCAAGGTCAAGTGTCAATTTCTGGATCTGTCAGCTAACATGTCCCTTGGCAGGTTTTCAAGGGCACTCTGAGGGTGGAAGGTGAGGTAGTGGGGAGCTCCACCATCACTAAGCTACCTGTCTGAGTGGAGCCTGGTCATCTAACTTCCACCAAAGCAGGTCCAACTTTTGTTGCTGGAACTCCTCCTCACAGCTCACCACGTGTACAACTGTGCAGCTGTCGGCCCCAGGCTTATAAGGAAGGAAGACAGTCACTACGGAGATGCAGGATACTTGGTTTGCTAGAAGCCTACAGGGCTGGGAGTTACTAACCAGGCCTGGGTAGCTGTCCTCTGGCCAATACCGCAGAGCCTGCTGTAGCTCGGCCAGCACAGAGAGCAGATCCTCTGTCACTGCAAAGAGAACATACAGGTGCTGAGGCTGGCTGGCCAGTAATGCAGAAGGCACCCCCCCCCCCACCTTCTTTTCTGGCCCTGTTAGGCTCCAGGTCCTACCCAGACAGTTGTCCAGGCTGGGGTCATAGCCAGCTGCCCGGCCCTGTTCTTCCACCAGCTCCTTCAGGCACAATCTGCCCAGGACGCCGGGGGGCAGTGTCCCCCCGTCATGAGCAGAGGTAAGCTCTCTAAGTGCGCGGCTCCTGAGGGTTTCGGTTGAGGCTTTCTCCGAGGCACAGGGCCAGTCCACCCGCAGTTGCTGCAGGAAGGTCAGCATGTGCAGATCCCGCACAGCAGGCACTAGGCGCACGCACACGCTGCGAAGGGAGGGCGACCGCCTTAGCCTGCGCACCTAATCCGGCTCGCCAATACTTCCCACCCCCAGCGGCTGTCCCTAAGGGCGGCGCCGTTCTCTAGGCTCCCAATAGCCTGTCCCAACTCCATTTTGCCCCAGCTCACCCGTGAGCACGAAGAGCTCGCGCTAGGTGATCGGCCACGAGCACGGCACGCAACTGGCTCAGGCGGAGTGCACAAGGGGAGCCGCGCAGTGCCGGACAGTGTAGTAAGACGCGCGGGCCCAGGGAGGCAGGCGTAGCGGGCGCGGTATAGGCAGCCACCGCGCGGAGGACGCGCTCGAATACGGCTGGTCGGTGCAGTTGCAGCGACAGACCCGCGGGAGTCGACACGCAGCGCAGCACTGGGGCCACGCCGGGGCCCTGCAGGCAGGCGACGGCACGGAACACATGCTCGGGCACCTGTGGGTGGATGGGCAGTGTGAGCAGGCCGCAGCGCTCGCTGCCACCCTGGGCCGCGCGTCCCGGCCCGCTCCCACCTGCCCGTCCTCGAAGCGCGCCCGCAGTGCGCCTCGCGGCGCCAGGAAGTCTCGGGCACGGAGGTGGCGGGCGCGCGTCTCCTTGAGCCACACAGGGCCGCCAGGCCCCAGGGCAGCGTTGAGAGCCACCAGAGTCTCCCCCACCCCAAGGCGCCCTGTCGCCATGGCGACCGGAAGGAGTGAGCGGAACCGGAAGCAAATTTTCGGAAGGTGGAACTTCCGGAAAGGCCGACTAGCAAGGGCGGGGATCCAGCAGCGGCCACCCGTAAAGCGGACAGGTGCGGCGGAGGGAGTCGCGTCTACTGCTTTCGACCTACCGGTCCCAGTGCTGCCTCTGCGCGGCCCACCTGCATTGCCGGGCCCCGGGCCCGAAATCTCGAGGTCCTCCTCGGGCCTAGGGCTCTTTCGCCGTAGCCCTGCATTAACTAAGAAAACGATCCTTGCGACTGGGTGGCGGCTCCGACAGGGCGCCTTCTCTTCTCACCGAAATCTAACGTCTGTTTGTGTAATAACGTTTCATTTTTCCCATTTTACATGATTAAAAGGTCAGATTTCGAAATGAGTTGTCATTAGAATAAGGCAGTAACATTAAGGACACTTCCACGACCTACTTTAAAAATCTCATTGTTCAAAGAATTTGTGTTCCGCGATTTTAGATTGTTTGCAAGCATTTCCTCCTTTGAGATATGGGTGGTCTTTATTCCCAATAAATGCGCACTCATACAATTACCGGTTTTCTTCCCTTGCTACCTGGGGAATTAGAGCCACGGTGACAGTTTACCAGAATTACTAGCTTTTGTCTCCTTTAACCTGGTGTACTTCAACAGCGATCCTCAAAGCTTCCTGTTTTAGGTTATTAAGGGCCAACTAAACAATTTGACCATGAGAAGCGGCTAAATAGACCTCAGTTGGAACATCCTGCTCCTCCAGTGGGAAAACACTTCTCCTCTCTCTCACGAGGGGTCCCCAAATGTTTTCACTTCCACGCCCCCCCTCCGTTTTCCTTTTAATAGAGATTGAACCCGACACTAAGTACAGAGAACTGGGAAACCCCATGATCTCTGTGCCCAGAGTTCTGGAAAGGAGAGAAACATAAGAACAGGAAAAGCTTGGCAAGGTCCCTTTCTGGGCCAAGGGCTGTGAGGCCCTGCTAGGAGGCTCCGAAAGAGCACTGGGCGGACACGACATTCCCGATGGCTTCTTGGGTGCCCACTCAACGGGAGTGATCGTGTCATTCCAAAGCGCTTTCCATGCTGTAGGCTCATGACCCGGAGACAGCTGCTAGCAGGGCCCCCCGGCCAAGCTGGGGACTTTAGCTACTCTCGTCCACAAAGACCGTTGGGGTGGTTTTTCCCCAGGAAGTGCAAGGCTATCTTTAGCGAGCTGTGGGCTGGGCCGGCCCTGTAGGACTCACCATCCTAGCAGCTCTACCCAGAGCCCCTGAGTCCACCCTCCCTCGCCAATGCTCCCTGGTGGTGCCAGAGATGGCCCACCAGCCCAGGCTCTCCGACACCTACACCCACCACCTCCAGCCTGAGGGCGCACCTGAAGGAGGAACTGAGACCAGATCGGCCCAGTAAAGTATGTCTGGGGGTCTGGGGCCACCCCATCTGGGCCAGGGCGCTGCTCAGGCAGGAGAGCAGGGAACGAAATCCAAGCGCAGCTGGAATGCTCTGGAGACAACAGCTGCTTTTGGGATTCCGTTGCCCGCTGTCCAGCCGTTGGAGGGGGGCTCCTGCCCGCAGGTTACTTGCCCTGAGGCCAGACCCGAACCCGTCCATTCCCAGTCCCAGGAGGCGGATCCGGGAGTAGGCGGTGAAACCGAGTCTAGTGGGAACGAGGCGCTCACCTGGGCCCCAGAACAATAGGAGGGGAGGTGGGGGCCTCCCCTGGGACCGGGTCCCGATCCGGATTAGATCCGCGGGGTAGGATTAGCTCTGCCGGTCCTACGCAGCTGGGACCACTGGTGCGGTGACGGTGGCGGGGCGGGCTTCGGAATCCGCCAAGAGGGAAGCGCGAGGGGCCAGAGAGGAAGTAAACCCACGCGTCCGCCTCGGGGACACCCCCGCGCCGGGGGCCCTTTGTCCGGTGACGCTGCCAGCGCCCGGAGCGCCAGGGGACGAACGGGCCCACACAGCAGCGGCAGGACCCACAGAAACCCATTGCGACCAGCCCTAGCAGATCCACCGCCAGGCCCCGACAGTGCCAAGCCTCCCACTCGCCCGGCCCCGCGGGTAGCGAACGCGACAATGTTCCCCTGAGGCCACAACAGAGCCGGCGTGCCGAGATACCCAAACCCAGCGCGGGCGCCAGCGACTCTTGCGCCAGTAGGCCCTTGACTTGGCTCAAGACGGGGGATGGGGGACTCTCGGGACGCGAGCAGTGAGCGAGGACAAGGTGATGCTTCAGGCGCCGCCGAGTTCAAATCTGGTCCGGTTCGGCCCTGTTGATCCCACCCGACAGCCACATCAGACCTACAACCGCGTGCCCTTCCGCCTGCTCTGGCTTCCCGCAGATTTGGAGCCATTTTAAGGCAAAACCACATGGCCACGCCCCCTCGCGCTCCGGAGAAGCCAATCCCCGCTCGGCCACGCCTTCCGCAGCGCACGGCGGCGCAGCCAACGGTCGAGCGGTTGACGGTTAAGGAGGGGCGTGTTACGGCGGCAGCCGAGAAACCCGAGGCGCCCGCCTCGCCTACGGGGCCCGACGCCACAAAGTTTGGGATTAGCGGCGGAGAGCCTGGCACCACGCCCTGGCCAGGTGTGCAGGACACGGCCAGGTGGGCGATCACCCCGCCCCGGGCGCCCTGCTTAATGGCCGAGAGCTCGGGAGCCAGGCCGCGCCTGCGGCCCAGGCAATGCCTCAGGGCGGTGACGCTACCAGGTGTCCCACTCCCTCGGGACGGTCGGCAGGGGCATGGGGCGGGGCGGGCGGCAGGTGCTGACACTGGAGCCGCGCGGGGGGACTGGCCCTCCTGAGACAGATGGCTCTAGCTCGCTGGGCCGGCCGAACTGTGCGATGCCCTCCGGAACGCAGAGGGCGCTGTTGCCGCGCTGCGTCCGGCTTGGCTAGACCCCACCAACCCAGTGACGATCTTGCTACGCGCTTATGAGCCATGGCCGCCGCTTTCGCGCTTCGCTGCCTGTACCGCGCGCGGCCGGCGCTGCGCTGTCCGCCCGTTCAGCTGCCGTGGTGAGTCTGGACTCTGCGCCCCTAACCATACCCACTTCCCAGGGCCGGTGATCCCAGCCCCGCTAGACCACAGCCTGGGCATGCGCCCCTGACCCTACCGATCCGCAGGGCCCCACGGCGTGGGCATCGGCTCTCGCCGGCGGATGACGAGTTGTATCAGCGGACGCACATCTCTCTGCTGCAACACGAGTCCCCTCACGCCATGTACATCGACTGCTACAACAGCCGCGGCTTTACTGTCAACGGAAATCGAGTGTTCGGGCCCTGTGCGCTTCTCCCGCACTCAGTGTTGCAGTGGAACGTGAGCTCTAACCCTCAATGAGGAATAGGAAGCCCAGAGTCGGAGGCTCTCTCCCTGCTTGTGTCCCTGTCCAACTGGCCTTTCCGTGTATCCCCAAAGTGGAGCTGGGGGGGAGAAGTTGCATGGATTTGTTTGTCCTATTGAATCTGCCTCCTCTCCATAGGTGGGATGCCACCAAGACATCACCGAAGAGAGCTTTTCTCTGTTCTGGATGCTAGAACCCCGGATAGGTATGGAAGCGGGAGACGGAGGGCTGAGGCGCTCTGAGCCCCAGAAGGCCACCCTCCCCCCATCCTCTCAACAGACCTAGTTGTAGAGTAACCACACCGTCCTTTCCCTAGAGATTGTTGTGGTGGGCACTGGAGACCGGACTGAGAGGCTGCAGTTCCAGGTGCTGCGAGCCATGAGGGAGCGGGGCATTGCTGTGGAAGTGCAGGACACGGTAAGTCCCAGGATTTGGGAATGCTGTGGGCAGCTCAGGCCTAGCCCACCCTAGGTGGGCTGATGCTAGTCTATTCTTTGCAGCCCAACGCCTGTGCCACCTTCAACTTCCTGTGTCATGAAGGCCGAGTGACAGGAGCTGCTCTTATCCCCCCACCTGGAGGGACTTCACTTGTATCTCTGGGCCAAGCTGCAGAATGAACCTCCAGGAACTGACCTGTCTAGGAGGGCCCTGGCACTTTGCAGAGTGCAGGGGTTCCCAGGGCTTTCACTGTTGTCTTCCTTTGGCACTTTAACACTTGTCTTGTTTGCCAGCATATTAATAACTTATGTACTTCTCTCGTTTTGTATCAGGTGTGTTGCTGGCCAGGAGCTGCTGGCTCAGTGGGCTCTTGGGGGGGGGGTATGAAGAAACTAAGGGGTCACTTTTTCATCTAGATTACTTGGATTCCCCAGCCCTTTAGGGGTCAGGAAGCAGTATACTTACCTGTTCCAGATCTGTCCACTTGTTCACATGCAGATTTGAGGGGACCTCAATGGCTTTCCCCACAAGATCATTGAAAGATTTGAGTTAGGGAGTATATATTCATATTTTAACCTGGTCACATAGGCCAAGCTTTGGGCTGGCAGGATGCCCGTCCCATGGATTGTTCTGGGATCCCTCCTAGGGAGCCAAGAAGTTAGAGTCTCTGTGAGACTGAACCCACAGGAGCCAGAGCTGATCAGAGCTGGTTTGTGAGCAGCCTCAGGAGGAACTTTTTGAAATGGACTTTATCTCAGGGCCTGAGGCTCCCCCTGGAAATGAGGATACTGTGTGTGCATTTGTGGTGGTGGCAGCTGCAGAGTCCCACCTGCCTACTGACCTCAAAAATCAGGCATCACTTTCTTTTTTTTTTAACTTTTATTGAAAAACCGAGGGGATGTGCTGGATACCTTTTCAGAAAAGCCGCTTCTCATACCTGCAGTCAAAAGGACCACTGGTGAGGTGAGGATAGAAGGATAAAGGCATAAGGCATGGCAGAAAAACTCCCACCCAAAAATGGCACTTACGAATGGAGGCTGTGGACACCACCTTCCACTTGAGCTGAGGATGTTCTCTTCTCAAACTTAAGCTCCCCAGAGTACATCATGGCTCTGAAGAGGGTCAGATGTCAAAAGTAGGTAGCTGGCCCTGGATCAGCCCCTTTAACCATGTCCCAGCTCCCCAAGCTCACCGGACTTGGGTCAAGCTCTTGGCACCAATGTCCTGACAGGAGTGCTGGATGCCAGCAATCAGGTAGGGGACAAATTTATGGATGGACCCTTTGTCCTGCACAGCTCCAGACACCCCCTGGGCCACTTTGATTTTGTCAGCTTCACTGCAGGGAGAGGCAGAGACACAGACAAGGTCATACCAGACATAAGACTCAGTGCAGGGGTAGGGTGAGGTAATTGGTCTGCCTGTCCCACCTGAAATATCGGTTCTGGCTGCTGAGATGCTTGTCCATGGCATCCAGAGAACCCATACCACGATATTTCTTTAGCCGGATGCCGTCGGAGAAGAAGTACTCACCAGGGGCTTCAGTGGTGGCAGCCAGGAGGGAGCCCATCATGACTATGGATAGATGGGAATGTTTGGGGCAGAGTCTTCACAGCACTGGGGAAGGGGTTCCACCAGGCTCCAGGCCCTTACCTGTGGAGGCCCCAAGGGCCAAGGCTTTGGCAATATGGCCCACATTTTGGATTCCTCCATCGGCAATGACAGGAACACCAAAGCGCCGTGCATACTCTGACACCTTGTACACTGCTGTTGCTTGGGGCCGCCCGCAGGCCAGCACTATTGAGATGGAGAACAGATGGGTGGTAGGATTAGTGGGAACAGGCACTGTGGCCATACTTAGCACCCAGGAGCTCTTCGCTACAACCATACCAGGACTGTAGCTTGGCTGAGGAAGAGATGTGTCTGGGATGGCTGCTGCCCCATCTGCCTTGAATAGTACAAACAAATGTGGTGGCCTTCACTCAACCCTGCGTGTGCGCGTGCACGTGTGCAGCGCCCAGGGCAGCCTCGGGCACATGCAGTCTTAGCAGCCGGGAAAGCCCCGCCCAGCTGGTATCAGATGGGGCAAGAGTCACCGTGCAGAGCAGTTAGTACCCAGAGGCACTGAGTCAGGCCCACCCTTCCTCCCTGCATGGTGGGCAGCTCAGGCAAGGTCAGGGCAGTGTCATGTGGAAGAGAGAGCAGGTTTCAGAGTTGGTCCTTAAACCATGCCTATTGTGGAAGATGTGGGCAGGGCAGGGTTTGCCTAAGGAAAGATCAGCGCCCCAGGAGGATGGAGCTGTGTTCTCCAGCAGCCCCCAAAACCATGGTCTGTATGTCAGTTTGCCCTGCCCACCCGTCAGCACCACAAACCCCGGGAGCTACAGCTACAGTCAACCAAGCAGCCGGGCAGTGGGCAGCTGGGCCGGGCTGGACTTACTATAGCAGCCCGTGACAGTAGAAGGGCATTTGGGGCTGTGGGACTTTATGTCTGGAGGGATCTTGGGAGCCGCTAAATAAAACAAACAGACCAGAGTTTAGAGAGGGCGCAGAGCAGGAGCAAGGAGGCCAGGCTAGGCGAGGGAGTGGCAGGTGAGGGATGTCAAGAACTTGTCTTGCTTCCAGCCATGTCACCCATCCAAGAGGCCAATTTGGCCCCAGGTTTGCCCCTACTGGAGGAGGATTCGGTGGTGTTCCCATAAGAGTGCTTGGCTTCAGGGCATGTGGGGCCTAAAGCCAGGGTCTCTGTGGGCCCTGCCAAAGCATATTCTTACCTTCCTGGGTGATGCAGATGGAGCCACTTCCCATGCCCACCCGCAGGGCATCCACACCTGCATCAATAAGGTTCTTGGCCTGAGCAGCGGTGACCACTACAGTGAAGGAGAGGAAAGGCTCCTGTGAAGGTCCGATGGGGGCCCAGCTCCCCCACTTCCACCACACATCTTTCAGTACCCAATCTTGCCTTACCATTGCCTCCAATGACTTGGAGACTGGGGTATTTCTCTTTGATATACTTGATCATATTGATCTGGAAGATGGAGTTTCCCTGGGAAGAGTCCTGGGACAGGAAAGTAAGTCCCAGTCAGGCTGTGGTATGGCAGCTGCCCATAATGCCCCTCCCTGCCCGTGTAGCAGCTCACCAAAACCACCACATCAACACCGGCCTGGGCAAGCAAGTCCAGCCTATACTTGTCATCCTCATGAGTGCCAATGGCTGCCCCACACAGCAGCTGCTTCTTGGCATCTTTGGAAGCCAGCGGGTAATCCCGGTTCTTCTTTAGGTCTGTCCGGGCAATGATGGCCACCAGCTCATCGTCTTCATTTACAATGGGCAGCTTTCCTGAGATCAGGGCAGGACATGAATCAGGACCCTGAGCATTAATTCCAGGCCCCCTTCCCACCTCTAAGATTTACCTTTTTTGCTGCGCTGCAGAATTTCGTTTGCTTCCTTCAATGTGATGCCTGCAGGGGCTACCACAAGGTCTTCCCTCTTTGTCATGATCTAGGAGGGAATGAGGGTTGTGAGGAAAAGCCAGTCAGAAATCACACCTCTCCACAGACCCTGCCCTAACTCAGGGGTGAGGTTCTAAAGACCACCATGTTCACACACCTGCACCTAGACCACCCTTCCTCAAGGGAACTCAATAGTTCCTACAGCAGTATAGCAGTAAGAGAGAGAATTGAGTATAAAGGACATAATGACACAGAAAGCAACTATGGAGAAGGAAGGACCACATAGGAGTAATGTGAAGAGAATTAGAAAAGGATGACTGACATTGGTCCTTGAGCACTGCTCCCACCCTGGGGAGTCACAAAAAACAAAGCATAAATGCTGGCAAGCATGTGGACAGTTTGAGAGCCTCTGGTGGGGAGAGATTGCAAGAACCCAATGAAGGAGTCAGAAACTTGGCTGGGCCCTTGTATTTCCTGGACAGAAGAGGCCTTCAGAGATATCATAAGGGCAATATCTTCAGCCTGGGCTGCCAGAGCTTAGCTGTGCTCTACCATTGGCACCTACCTCTTCCAAAAAGCAGTCATGCTCCTCCTCCTTGAGAAAATCAATGTCCCTTGAGGAGATGATGCCCACCAAGCGGCTCCCCATCCGGCCTGTGTCTGTGATTGGAATACCACAGAAACCATGCCGGGCCTTGGCCTCAAAAACATCCCGTACACGATCCTTGGGGCTGAGGACCACAGGGTCTGTGATGAATCCCTGCTCGTATTTCTGGAAAGGATGATGAAAATGGGCATTGCATCTTTGAACCACTTTCATCATCAGGCTCTTGGTCTGAAGCATGGAGTCTGTCCCTAATTCCACTTTTGGCAATGTCATAGAACCAAATCACACCAACACTTAAGAGACATGGATGGGCTACAGGCACTGTCCACCTGCTCCTCTTCTGCTGCCTTAAGAAACACGGTCCCAAGCTCTTCTCAGTAATTGATCCCCATGGTGAGAAGAAAGGATCCTTAATTAGCAAAACAAACTCCCACTCCCACCCTACCCCACCTCAGTGCATTTCCCAGGAACTCTTGGCCATGATCCTTGCCCTTCTGACCTTCACTTTCCGAACTTCATTGGCCTGGAATTCAGGTGTACAGTTGTGGTGGATGAAGCCGATACCACCTGTAAGCTACAGGATTAGCAGAAGAGAGGGAATAAGTGACACAGAGCAAGAGAGGCAAGACCGGATGCCTTAGGGAAAGGAGATGGCATTCCTGCTTCTCCCCCACCCCACGGGGCTCACCGCCATTGCTATGGCCATTCCAGCCTCTGTCACTGTGTCCATGGGAGAGGAAACCAATGGAGTCTTCAGAGTAATTTTCTTGGTCAGAGCAGAGGTCAGGTCCTGAGAAAACAAAGGTCCACTAATGTGGGAAAGCATCTCTTTCAGCTTAGGGTGGTACTGGGTCTCCCCCCCAAAACAGGTGCTCTGTATGACCTGCGTGAATCCAACCCCAAACCCAGTTTGGTGAGGTTGCCCAGAGATAAGGCAACCTTAGGCCACCTTAATGTTCAGAACCCAATTTTTGATCATACTCACCACCTGGTCTGCAGTGAAGTCGATGTAGCCAGGGAGAATGAGAAAGTCGCTGCGGGGAAGGGGAATAAATTGGGAGTAGGGCATTCAGGTTTATGGCAGCATAAGACTTCATCTTTATAGATCATCGCCTAAGGTACATGAACAGAGACGGGCGCTCACTTAGCCCGTGTGTCACAGGAGAGGCAGAGCACAGGTGGATGGAAATGGGGACAGAAGTCCTTTACGACCACTGAGCTGTCATCAGTGCTCCTAGCACCCTGACAATTCCATGTGTCCAAAGAACGGAGTCTCTAGCCTGAAATCCCAAACACTATTAAGATAACTTCCCCAAAGCCAACCCCCGCTCCAGATGTGTCAAAATGAGCCCTGGAGATGGGTGGGTAGTTCCCGGAACCTGTTCCCCATGCCTGTGCTCGAGACGGCGCTATGGAAGCCCCCATCCGGGCTCTTCGCCCAACATGCCGCCCCACTCCTTGCCCAGGTGAGCCCCATAGGCCCGCACTTGTAGGTGAGACCGTCCCCGCAGTTGAAGAGCTGCTGTGCCGTGAGTCCGTCGTCTGGCACATAAGACGTGCCCCCGCTAATCAGGTAGTCGGCCATGGCCAACGCAAGGAACCGCCGCGTGTGTCCGAGAACCGCGCCGCAGAGACCTCTGGCGTCTGGGCCGCGCCAATATAAACCAGCCGCTTTCGTCACGGCGCCGCGCGCGGTACTGACGTCATGACGTAAGGCGCGGGGGTGGAACGACTGCGGCGCTGCGGAAGGGGCGGAGCCGAGGAACCGGCTTATGCTCATGCCACGCACTGACCTAGTGGGGCTGTTTCCTATCCCACCCCCTCCCCGCAGGACCTTGACCCGTTCAACTAACAGGCAAGGCTGTGCTCCCACTGTTCCGCCCGTTTCCTCCCCAAATAAAGAGACCACGTTCACTAGCATGTTGAAAAGACGTGCTTGTCATTCTTAATAAACAACTAGAGTAAGAATACATAAGAGAAACAGAGTGGTATCTTTATATGATACACAAGTGTATGTTACAAGAATTCCATCAGGCACAGGAGCCTCAGGTTTTAAGGCCTCAATGTTAGGCCAAAAAAAAAAAAAGCATGGTAAAGTTTTTACTTTAACATCTAAAATGTCACTTGTCATAAAGGAGGGTGTAATAGAAATTGTCTTTAATAAATCATAATTGAAATTCCCCTCATTTTTCTTCCATTAAGATGCTAAGTTTCTGTCTGAGCATAAAGAAAGAAAAGAACATGGCTCCCCTCTGGTCAGCGAAGTCTGCCAGTCCAGGGTGAAAACCAGCTGGGGAGAATCCCTGCAGGGTCCATCCATCATTAATTCCATCTCTCTTGAGGAAGGGAAGGAGCCACATTTCTCCTAATAGTCCAAGCCCTTTCCACAGGCCTCAGACAAAAAAGAAAAAGTCAGCCAGCAACTTTCTAGGATATCTGGCTCTCAGGAAACCCAGAGCCCCCATCAGCTGAGGAGTCCGCCACAGCAGGTTTATAAAGATGCAAAGGGGGCAGAGTTTTCTTTTACATTTTAAACGGAAGCAGCCTGATAGGCTTCATAACTACACCAATAAAAAAAGAATAAAGAAAAAATGGAGGCCTCTTCTTTAGTGTGAAAGTCTGTCTCGTTTTTCCTGGCTGGTTTCTCTTGCAACATGGCCAAGGCATCTCAGTGCATGGTGCTTGCGTTGGCCACTGCGATGGCCTCCTGAATTTCTCGTATAACCAGGATCCGGGTTAGCATTTGTCCCATCTGCTCTCTGCTGATAGGCTGGACTGAGTACCAGATTGGGCTGTTGGGGGCCACCACTGGTTCCGGTGTCAGGTAAAAGGTGTCATTCCGGCCTTTCACACTCTGGGGGCTGAAAAGTATGTCAGTAAAAATTGGGTAACACCATTACAACCTCAACCCTCCCACTTTGAACCTCCCAGGCAGATGCTGTCTGCAAAAGTTGGTAACGAGGCACCAAGGTACTGTGGCACAGCTACTGAATTCCATGTAGCCACAACATACCACCTCCTGGTCCTCCTTTGGGGCTACTGCAAATGCCAGTGACAGGATGCTTCCCTTCTGCCCCTCCTTTCCATGTGCTAGCTGTGATCCATCAGACTGTACCTACCTACAGCTCCCCTGGGCTCATTTAACTTGAGTCCATCTATATCCCACCTAGAAGCCACTTTACAGTCCAGAAGGTCTATCTCTAAGTCTCTGTTCATGTTATTCACTCAATAATAATGGCCATAATGCTGGGGTTCTTACCTGGGCTTACGCCACCCCCCAAAGTGTGCTGTACCTCTATTAAAGTATTTAGCACCTTCCATCTTCTAACAGTTATTCATCCATTCAAGATTTATCGAAGGGCTACTGTGTGCCAGGTCAGCACTAAGTACTGATGTTAAAGAAATGAGCAGGAACAATAATTCGTACTACCTCATGTAGCTTACAGATAAAAGGAGAGACAAAGTTACATAAACACACACAAAATGACAAACAGTGGTTAAATGCTACAGAGGCTACATCCAGAGAAAACAGGTAGGGAATCTAGAGATGCTTTCCTGATAAAGCTGTGTTGAAGTTGAGAAGAGGGATGCATGATGCCTTTGAGTGGAGAAGAGCTAGTGTGGCTAGGGAGCCAAAAGCTCCATGAACATCAGGTTAGCAAGGGGGAGCAGATGGAAGGCTTTGTCCACTATGTGAGGATTACTCTGTAGAGTAATGAGAAACCACCAAAAGTTTTCATCTAAGTGACATGCTAAGATCTGCAACCTAGAAAGATCATTGTGGCATTGCTGTGTCAAGATGATATGACAAACTACAGGGACAAGAGGGAGCAAAAGCCAAGAGAAGGAGTCCCCCCCTAGATTGATAGTGACAGTGACAAAAGGTCAAGGTCAGGATGCAGGGCCATGCTCAATATGTGTGCAGGTGGCTTCTCTGTACCTTTGTACCCTTTCCATGAAAGGTGACTGACTATAAAGGGATTAGGGACCCCTTTTATATCAGTGCTAGGCACATCACACACTTTGGGAAAAATAGCAAGTTTGCTTCTGTATTTAGCCTTTCAGAAGTGTTTTTTACTCTCAGTTTGGGAATAAAGAATGCCTGTATCCTGTGATCAGACAGACAGACAGACACACATGGTTAGCCAGTCATAATAAAGCCTCCTCACCATTTGAAGAGGTAGAAATCGTAGAGCTTGATGGGACACCTCAATGGATTCTCTGGATTTTCTGTCTGTTCTGCATACATGTCATCTGTAACTGTAAAACATGCCCCCCCACCCACACACACAACAGATGTGGCAACAGAATGCCTTACCTCCAGCCCAGAACCTTAGGCTTTCAGCCACCCTACCTAGAAAATATTGGGTGGGAGGAGGGAAAGTATGGGGCATGGGCAGTGACTATGAAGGGAAGAGGCAGCTATCTTCTCAGGGACTTCTCTGCTTTTAGGAGAAAAATTTGAAGTTTTTGACTAGGGAGAAGGGAGTAGAGAATTCCTATCTAGCAAACCCCAACTTGCACATCTGAACATTCATCACTAGCCCCACAGGCACGAGGGAGGGTGGGACAAGTAGCACCTGTTTGTGCAGTCCCCTGCCTCCTTCCCCTACCTTTCTGGCCAGTCTGGTGTATTCCAAGGGCCTTCAGGTACCGTATACTCGTGCTTTTATCCTTGGGATTAGAGGGGTTCTTCTTTGTCTGTCGCAAGACCTTGGAAAAGGCCAGCTTCATGTGCTGGTCCACTGTCTTCAACAGGAAGTACCTGGACCACAAGTGAAAGCAAGGCAGAGGAAGGGGTGCCAGGAGAATACCATGACTTACCCTCTGCCCATCGGTATGTCAGAGAGCCACTGCCCACACTCCCAGGATCTCGGCAGGCCCATACCCAAGCACAGTGTCCAGTGGAGGAGCCACATCAAGACGGATGGTAGGTATCTGGCAAGGCTGTTTGCCTTACTGGTCACCACACAAAATGCAGCCAAGCCGGAATGGGGTTTTCAATAGCCCAAAGTTTCTCGAATATGTGTCAGAGGAATTCAGAAGTCCTCCTGGATAGTTTCCACCCTCTTCACTGGACAGATGCCAGCGGTGGCTAAGCGTGGAGCCTCTAGAACACTTACTTGGTGTTAAAGAACATGAGGGTGGTCAGCAGGGTGGAAGGGGAGTGAGCCCCAAGCTGTTTGCACTCCCACAGCATCTCCTCAGTCACATGGCTGGGCAGGACATAGCCTAGGAGGAAGAGAGTACTGCTACAAGAAGATGGCAGGTGGTTTCTAAGGCACAGTATGGGAGGTATGGCACAAAGACCGCACAGGAATACAACTTTAATCAGGGAAGTCTCCCTAGGGTACGGCAAAATAATCTGGAAAGCTGGTTAAAACACAGATGCCTGGGTCCCAACCCAAGTTTCTAGGGTAGGACCTGATAACGAGCATTTTTAAGTTCCAAGGTGATGCTGTTGCTGCTGCTCTGGGAAATCACACTTTGAGAACCATATCAGCCTTACATGGTAACTGTTACCTGACAAAGTCTTTCTCTAGTCCAAGGCTAATATGGGGCAAAAGGGACTGCCCTCAGGGAGAATGAAGTAACTAAAAGTCTGCATATATGTATACTTCTCTGAGAGGATACAGAGCTTGCATTATATCTTCAAAGGTCTCCAAGGGCCCAAAGAACTGGTATGCATTGCCCTGTTTGCCCTTGCCAAACCTTCTCTCATGTCTACCATGAGAGAAAACAAGGCCATTCTCATTCCTTCTCTGGATAAAGGAGAGACTGGTATTTGGCTTTTACAAGTCTCCCCAACAGGGCAGGTGTTACTGTAAGATCCTGGTTCATAAGAGAACACAAAGTTAGCAGAGGCAAAGATCAATGGTTTGAACAAGAGCCCTGGTCAGCAAGGTTTGCACACAAGGAAGAAGATACTTGGTTTGACCACCAAGCCCACTTAATGTGCTCAATTCAGTCAATATGTGCACTGGGGGCACGGTGACACAACAGCAGACACTACTATTCTCCTGAAGGGTTTCAACATTCTCCAGGCAGACAGTGAGGGTGACACTTCCTGAAAGCAGAAAAAGGAACATTCTGCCCAATACACTGCTCTTCTCTGTTTTTGTCAAAGCTGGCCCTCTGACGATATTAGCCCCCAAGGTGCAGGATGCAGAAGAGAGCCCTGCTTTGGAAAGGCAATCTACTAGGAGCAATTCCTGACATACCTTGGCATGTTCTACTTCTCTGGGTTCACTCTGCCAGCTGTACCCTCTGGTGTCACTTCCCTAACTTTATTCTCTTCTCAACACCACAACTTAAAATTAACTTTAGGCAAGGCACAGTGGCTCACGCCTGTAATCCCAACACTTTAGGAGGCCAAGATGGGAGGATCACTTGAGCCCAGGAGTTTGAGAATGGCCTGAGCAACACAGCAAGACCCCATCTCTATAAAAAAATTTAAAAATTAGCCAGGTGTGGTGGCATGTGCCTGTAGTCCTAGCTTCTTGGGAGGCTAAGGCAGGAGGATTGCTTGAGTCCAGGAGTTGAAGGTTGCAGTGAGCTATGATGATGCCACTGTGTTCCAACTTGGGTGAGAGGGCAAGACCCTGTCTCTAAAATAATAAAATAAAATAAACTTTTAGTGCTTGAAAATCAGGCTCTTGGTATGGGAGTAAGAAGATATAGATAAAAACATTACATAAAATAGCCTTGTAGTTCTGAATCTGAACTGCAAGCATCAAAATGGTATCTTTTGTCTTTAAAAAAAATTCTAGTTCTGCCCACTCAAGGTCCTCGAAATAACAACCAACCCAGGAGCAATGAGCACTCCTAGTTCCAGACTGTGGTACTGAAACACCACTTCTCACTAAAAGAAACCAGGTTCCCCGGAGAGCTGATGGACTCCACATTGGGAGAAGAAATGTCCAAAATGAAATGTTCACCATTCCATTAGATCAGAAATCAAGAAAGTCATCAAAGACTACTAAGCTCATGTCCAAAGGACATAGGGACCAATTTAAAAAGGCTCCAAATGGCCAACATTGAGACAATTTCCAAATCAGTAAAGATAAATGCAATAGACTGAATCACATCAAAGGTCTCAATTCAGGAGTTCACAATGATTCTCAAAAACAAACAAAACAAACCTAACTGATCATCACTGGGAGAAGCTGGTAAACCGACCCATTACTGTGAAAACTGTTAAGGAAAAGAAACAAGCTCTCATCCTGCCTGTTCTATATAATCTGCACTGCTATGAATCCACAGTTGAGTAGGAAAACGTTTCTATTTATGTTCCAACTAATAATGAAGAAGTAGTAACATTAGAATACCATTTTGTAACCCAAAAAGAATTAATGGATCTAGACATTATGGGCACCGTAATGGAGGAAAAGCCACCTATGAGGTAACCTTGCCAAAAACAAAAGAAAACAAAAAACAAACCTGAATCAATCTTTATATGCAATTAGTAATAATCAACTGTAAACACATGGTACAAAAGAATATGTTAAACTACACCAGGATGCAATCAGGAAAGACTAAATTGTTTCACAATTTAAAGGGCTAGTTTCTTCCATAAATAAATTGTAAGAAAAAAAATGGAGAGGGAAATTAAAAATGAAAACAACTAGATATTAAAAGGCAGCCAATTTCAATATGTGAACCTTATTTTCACCTTGATTCAGATAAACGAAAGGATGAAATTTATGAGACAATCAGAAATTTGAACAAAGGGCAGATTTTGATGACATCATGGAATTACCATTTTGGGTTTTGTTTTTTTTTTTAAAGTATGACGATAGAATTGTGGTATGTCAAGAATATGTGTCTATATAGTTATAGATAAAGTGGGATTTACTTCAAAATAGTACACAAGAGAAGCAGGTGGTGGTATACACACAATCAAGATTGCATTGGACAAAGGGTACATGGGGGTTCATTAATCTATTGTTACTTTTATGTATGCTTGAAATCTCCACAATAGAAGGCTAAAGAAGTGAACTTTGCATATCCATATTTGGCTTGAAAATTCACAAATCATGTAAAGAGTGATTCACTCATTTATGTCTCTGTTCTAATGATGACAGACCTCCATCTTAAAGCCCTTATAACATGTTCTATTCCCTTGTATTCTGTTCTTCAAAGTACTTAAATTAACTTGCTTGTTGCTACATTTTCTCTCCTTACTAGACTGCAAACTCTTTTCTTTATTGCTCTATTATAATCCTTGGCACCTAGAATACTGCCTGGAACATAGCAGGGACTCTTAATTTGTTTTAAAAAAATTAAAAAAACAAACAAAAAAAACCACGGTTATACTGCATACATTTTAATAAATGGCAGAGCCAGGATTAAAACTCAAATATTCGTGTGGACGTAAGTTTTCAACTTGCTTGGGTAAATACCAAGAAGTACAACTGCTGTATCATAAGGTAAAACTATGTTTACTTTTGTTTGAAAATACCAAACTCTCCTAGCACTCTGGGAGGCCGAGGCGGGTGGATTGTTTGAGCTCAGGAGTTC